ACATCTCCTCATCAGACTTCTTTTTTCTAGACTTCAGCAGGGATCGATCAATTTTTCCTAATAAACAATCGTGGTACAAAGCTCAATAAAAATATTAAAAATTAAAAGAACATTTTGTTCAAAAAATTTTAAAAATTCCGCTGGCCGAGTGTTCGAACCTCGGATCTCTCGAATGGCACGTCAGCTCACTCGGTCATTGCCGCTGTTGAAGCAGCGCCAGCAAAATTTATTAATCTCCATTTGAAAAACGCTTAAGTGGTTTCTGTCAAAAGAACTTTTCAACATGACAATTGGCATTGAAGCTTTTTTTGTAAGAATAAATTAAATCTTTCAAACTATCGAAAAAAGCTGAAGCTCGCCGAGGGAATGGAGTTAAGGTTGAAAGTGCAGTAAGTGGTGTTATAGCAATGATATTATCAGAGAGAAATCAAATTTGTAAGAATAGGTTGAGATTGAGGCGCAGCAGTTTCAATTAACTATCGGCATAAGAAATAATGTCACATTCTCAATACTATCCGTCTTGTACTATAAAAGATAAGATAAGAAAAGGAATCTTCTTCTCAGAAACGAGTGTATGTCCAAAAGTCAAATCTTAAACAAAAGAGTGTTTTTGGTCGGGAAAGGATTTATAGAACTATTTCCTGCAAGGTGTCTTCATATATTTCTATGTCACTTCATATGTGAGAGCTTTTACTAAAAAAATACTCACCTCGTTTGCAGCCATTGCCATTCACCACTCTTCTTTTGATAACGATATGCAATCATGCCGGAAGCGCCTGTTTTTAGTACTAAAACAAAAGAAAGGATGAGTGCTTGCAAACGTCTCATCTGCAACTCAATATTCAAAATTGTCTACTTACATTCCTGATGCGCACTAGCCACATAAGCCAGATCATCGTAATGCACCAAATCATAGCCGCCCATATTGACTAGTTCCGCATCTGAGTAACCCAAAACGTGCTTGCCGCTGTTGAGTTATGTAAAAAACAGTTGCGCTAAGTAATTCTACCTCCTACCAAATATACTCACCGTTGATCCATGGAGACAAGCGAAAAATCCAATTTATGCTTGGACTTGAACATATTCTCCTTGTGTGGTATCTCGAGCAGACTTGGCGGTCCGAATGGTGTGCAGTAGGCAAATAGCGCCAGCGGAGGTTCTTCTGTCTTTCGATTTTGGCCATGCAGAATTTTGATACGTCCACGTATGTCCAATCGCAGAAAACCGGAAGTATTGTCGAGCAGGCAGCGAAATCGCACTGTAAAGCTACGCTCCAAATAGAGCGCCTTATCGGGCGCTAACGTATCGGCCAACTGAATGGTGGACATATCGGCGGGCAGGAAGGAGTTCCACAGTAGCTGCCGTTGCAGCTCTTCACGATCCTCGGAATGGACCAGTTCGT